TTTAAAAAAAATAAAAACGATTACAATTGGCACGCCTGTAGCTTCCTAGAGTTATGAAAACTCTTGCTGTGTGTACAAAGTACATGTGGCTGTTTTCACAACCTTCACTATGTTGTTTTTAAGCCATTTTTTTTACCATGCTCGAATATTCTTCTGTCTATCTTTGGAAGGGAAACACAGAAAGCCTTCAAACCAAATGCTTTTTAAAGACAACGACTTTAGCCTCCACATAAAACTGTCAGTGAGCTAATTCTCTTTTTTTAAACTTCCGGTTTTTCATCGATGCATAATTACGCACTAACTGGAACCCGGGGGGACCGCTGTGTACACACGTTCACAACGCAAGAAATATGGCTCAATACGGCTCAATACTCCGATATCAAGCATGTTCGCAGAAAAGCTTAAAACTATCACTTTTCTCACAAAGTACTGTATATAAATGTACAGTAACATGGTCAGAAGGAGCACGTAAAAACGTTTCCGAAATAACCACATGTAAGACTTTGATGCTTAAAATGTTTAGGGAGAAATGGAATACTGCTGTGTATTTTTTCTTTAAACTGCCAATATCAGCAGTATACATTTTACATAATGTTTGTGTTCCTAAATTAATATTGTTTAAGAGCATGTGAAAGGCATGGTGAATCGGAGATTCCCAGAACTTACCTTGCATGATTGGAAACGAATACGTGATCGGATCAACGAAATGCTGTGGTGTTACTTTTTGTCAATGAAAAAAGTATTTTCGTTTACAAAGACGGTCACAAACAATGTGAACCAGGGTAATATGTTGAGTCTACAGTTTGTCCAAGGTCATTCATTATTAATACTATTAGTAATATCTTTGGTAATGACTGATGCTTAAAATATTTCTGCATAATTAAAATATTTGATAAAGGTGGTAGGTGTACTTTTGTCCAACTGAGCAATCTTGCTTTCATAAAATATACAACGTTTTAATGTATAATGATTAACATGCTGTAATACACAGTTTAAATTTAAAAGTCTAAAGAGTATACTACTTAAATTCTTAATTGAGTAAAGATTGTCCCTCAGCAGTGATTGGGATTTGAAACCGGGCGTTCTCTGGTGACAGCTCAGATGCTGTACAGGAGAGGTTGAGCTTTATGAGCTCCACCTGCCGGTTTTACAGGTGATTTAAACCAGCGGCCTTCCAGCCTCAGGCGCAGATCTTTAGCCACAGTGCCACCACACCGCCCGTAATGGGAATATCTCCACGGGCGTGGCAGTGCTGACAGGCCCGCAGTGGAGACGTCTGGGCCTGGTGCTGGAGAGGGAGCGGCAGTCGGATTAGGATGAACCGGACCAACAGACCAGTCCCCGCTGCCCGGTCTGGGTCTGTGCATTGCCAACAGGGAGAGACCCTTTGGAATCGGCAGGCAGGAAGGTTCGAGACTCATCGTGACTCCGAGAGCCTTCGTCTCGGGGTCGTGACACTGCTGGGAGAAACACGGGCACTGAAGAGCTGTTCAAGCCTCGCTTCTCAAGCCAGACGTTTGGACGTGATCCCAGTCCCTTGCTGTTTGTGGGGGTTTTTTAAATATAGATCCATGCATCCGTTATTTGGGAAGCCGTTTTCTCCTGGGAAGTGTTGTGGCTACTGGAGTGTAGGTGGAGACTCCACCCTGAATAAGAAGCCAGTCTGCTGCAGGGTGTGTTCACTCCCACCCACTCACACACAAACAGGGTACAACTCGCAGCCCAGCCTGGGATCGAACCTGGGACCTGAGAGCTGTGGGTAGCAGTGCTTCAGGTACGGCGAACCTCGCTCGGCGAACCAGTCGGACGAGTGGTGCCAGCTGATGTCACTTCTGCTTTAGAGTGAAGAACTTCATTTTCCTGGGAAATGATCCTCTGTTACTCTAGAACCTGAGTGAGAGTCCTAGAGCCTCAATAGCCTTTGTGATCGGCGGCGAGACGAAGCTGTTAATAGGAGTCTGCAGGCTCTGGAGGCTGTGCCCTTTCTCTCCTGGGGAGCTCTTACTCTAAGCTAAACCAACATCCGTCGCCATTGAAGTTCACTCATCTCTGTGGGATTAGGTCTGCGTCACCCGGTGGCACCAGCGCATGCGCTGTGAGGGGCTGTGAGCCCGTTGGCTCTTGAAGCAGTGTGGTGAGGAAGTGTCTTCTTCCCACCCAGCCGGCACCGTAGTCCCTCGGGAGGGGCAGGAGAGCCAGTCGGCTGTGGGTATAGAGCACAGCGCTGCTGTGGAAGAGGGTGCACACAGGGGAAGTGCGCAGATCTTGAGGTCGATGTGTGAGGTTCTTGCTTCACAAGATGTGTTCGACGTGCTGTGACGGAGGGCAGAGGGAAGTAAAAGACTTCTTGGAGCTGTAAGTGAGGAAGTAGAGACGTGTTGCAGAGTTCTGGTTGTGTAACTGCTTGGCTGGTGCAACACCGATTCCGTTCCCCCATGTGCTTCCTGCCAATCAGCTGTCACTCCTCTGCCTCAGAATCCCATGGGGTGCTTATCTGTTTTCTAACCTGTCCACAAATGGTGTCAGTCCTGTGTAAATTCAAGGTAGGAATCTTCTGTTCTTTCTATTTGAGGTCTGAACGTTCATTGGTTCCTGAGAACAGCAATGAGCATGTACCTGATGGTAGACTAATCGACATGCTTTCTCTGTGTTTCATGTACAGTGGGGCATCTTTGCTGAATGTTTTTTTCAGTAGCACGGCTTGACATCAAGCTGTATGATGGATTTTCTGAGCCATGCCTCTGTTAGCCTGTGTTGGGTCAGCTAATTCACACTCGACCTCGACAAATAATGAACTCCTACATGTATGTATTAAAAAGGGCTTATGTTCTTAAGGTAGAAAGAGGAGTTTTAAAGATTATGGCAGGGAAAACAGGAATTTCCATGTTGCTCAATTGGTTAATATGACAGATTTCGATCAAGTCTGAAATTGCACCACTAGGAACGGGAGGAGAAAGCAGCTTTGTTGCTGGTGTCGATCTTTGAACTCGGGTTCCGTTTCTGATGTGTTTCAGGGGCTCTGTTCTGAAAGTGATTGCCCGTCATCACCATGGGGAGAAGGGTTAGTTAGGTGAACAAGCAGCAGAAGAAGCTGCAGGTGGCGTTTGTGAGAATAAATGTGAACGAGGGAGGTGAGGAATAATGTGCGTTTACTTGTGCACAGGGAATGATGGTTGTTTAATTGTCCAGCTTCTGGACTCTCGGCTGTCCTGCCTGGGAACGTTGCTAGTTTTGGGCCTTTTTGGAGAGAGAGTGGAGAGTGCCCTGGGAGCAGTTCAGAAGCTCACAGGTGAACACTGAATACGCCCTTTCCGTTTTTAAAAATAAAATATACAGCCATGAGTGAAAGGGACATGAAATACTATTCTAGTGCTCTTTGATTGCTTTAGAGGCTCTCTAGCCTAAGAGCTCAGGGGCTCTTGTAATTGAGAGCTGTTATGCTAATTGCTACACCAGCTTTTTAGTGCGGACTTCTTGAGCTCACAGAGTACAATGTGTTTAAATACCTGGGGTCCTATTTTCTGTAAAGCTGTTATAGAATGTACCTGTCTCTGTCCACCGTAGTCGAGCTGGAGAATAAAATGCACAGAGAGAGAGAGGAGACCTTTCCGTTGCGGTACACCCACCTGGCTTTTAAGTTAGAATGGAAAGTTTCTGAGTTGCTGAGTCATAAGCGTGACGTAATCCCCCTCTGTTTACTGCCCGGCGCTCGGGAGTGGTCGATCAGATGACGAGATAATGATGTCATGGAGCTGGGGTACATTTGGATGCTCACTGGTAGGGTGAGGGTGTACAGGCTGCCCCATCTCTTTGGGAGAGATTTGTTTCCTTGCTTTGGGAAAGGTGAAGCGTGTTTTCATGGCACTCTGCTGTGTTTGTTTGTTGGGCTATGTTGTCTTCCTCTAGCTGAGGCCTCCCTTCAAGTGATCATGTTGGCCAAGAAAAAAACTCTTAGCAATATGTAACTTTCTTATTAATAATTTACAGCACCTCCTGCTTTGTAATCAGCTAATCGCAGCCCCTGGCCTTTACGGGAACTCATTCTACAGTGGGCCCAGGGAGGGACTCTGTGTGGCGGGATGTTTAATTGGAAACTGGGAGGGTCGATTGCATCATGTTTCTCAGCCTGTTTCTCATGTTTCTCAGCCTGACTGGAGCTGCTGCCCAGCCTGGACGGGCTCAGTGCTGCTGACGTACAGAGGCGCACTGATCACACCTCTCGCACGATCTGCCCTTGTTTCGGGGGCGCACAGATGGAAGCTGGGGTTAATGGCTTAAGATCGCTTTAAAGCAAGCGTGTCCGTCTCTGTAGTGAAAATGTTATGGGAACAACAATGCAAACCTGTTTTTTTTTTCGTGTTATCTTTTTTTTTTTTTTATGCTATGTTCAGGAGTCAAGAAATTAGACACACTTTGAGAATGTGAGAACTTTGAGAGTCTCCGTGATCCCTTTTGGATCACAGCCTGATGATGGGGCTCTGATTCCCTTGATATTCTTTCCCCTGTCGGGGTTCTCTGG